CACCCGCAGCCCTCGAAAATGGCGACGGTTTCGCAGATCGCAGCCCCCCAGGGACGGCGAGGTCTACCTCAGGTCTGCGCGCTGCCTCACTCCGCTGGACCCACCAGCAGACCTCGAAAAATGGCGACGCTGTCGCAGATCGAAATCCCTCCAGGGACGGCGAGGTCTACCTCAGATCTGCGCGCTGCCTCACTCCGCTGGACCCACCCGCAGCCCTCGAAAGTGGCGACGGTTTCGCAGATCGAAGCCCCCCAGGGACGGCGAGGTCTACCTCAAATCTGCGCGCTGCCTCACTCCGCTGGACCCACCAGCAGCCCTCGAAAGTAGCGACGGTTTCGCAGATCGAAGCCCCCAGGGACGGCGAGGTCTACCTCAGATCTGCGCGCTGCCTCATTCCGCTGGACCCACCAGCAGCCCTCGAAAGTGGCGACGGTTTCGCAGATCGAAGCCCCCCAGGGACGGCGAGGTCTACCTCAGATCTGCGCGCTGCCTCACTCCGCTGGACCCACCAGCAGCCCCCGAAAGTGGCGACGCTGTCGCAGATCGCAGCCCCCCAGGGACGGCGAGATCTACACCTCAGATCTGCGCGCTGCCTCACTCCGCTGGACCCACCAGCCGCCCTCAAAAGTGGCGACGCTGTCGCAGATCGCAGCCCCCCAGGGACGGCGAGGTATACCTCAGATATGCGCGCTGCCTCACTCCGCTGGACACACCAGCAGCCCCCGAAAGTGGCGACACTGTCGCAGATCGAAGCCCCCCAGGGACGGCGAGGTCTACCTCAGATCTGCGCGCTGCCTCACTCCGCTGGACCCACCAGCAGCCCCCGAAAGTGGCGACGCTGTCGCAGATCGCAGCCCCCCAGGGACGGCGAGATCTACACCTCAGATCTGCGCGCTGCCTCACTCCGCTGGACCCACCAGCCGCCCTCGAAAGTGGCGACGCTGTCGCAGATCGCAGTCCCCCAGGGACGGCGAGGTCTACCTCAGATCTGCGCGCTGCATCACCCCGCTGGACCCACCAGCAGCCCTCGAAAGTGGCGACGCTGTCGCAGATCTCAGCCCCCCAGGGGGCGGCGAGGTCTACCTCAGATCTGCGCGCTGCCTCACTCCGCTGGACCCACCCGCAGCCCTCGAAAGTGGCGACGGTTTCGCAGATCGCAGCCCCCCGGTGACGGCGAAATCTACCTCAGATCTGCGCGCTGCCTCACTCCGCTGGACCCACTAGCAACCCTCGAAAGTGGCGACGGTTTCGCAGATCTCAGCCCCCCAGGGGTGGCGAGGTCTACCTCAAATCTGCGCGCTGCCTCACTCCGCTGGACCCACCCGCAGCCCTCGAAAATGGCGACGGTTTCGCAGATCGCAGCCCCCAGGGACGGCGAGGTCTACCTCAAATCTGCGCGCTGCCTCACTCCGCTGGACCCACCAGCAGCCCTCGAAAATGGCGACGGTTTCGCAGATCGCAGCCCTCCAGGGACGGCGAGGTCTAGATCAAGTCTGCGCGCTGCCTCACTCCGCTGGACACACCAGCAGCCCCCGAAAGTGGCGACGCTGTCGCAGATCGCAGCCCCCCAGGGGCGGCGAGATCTACACCTCAGATCTGCGCGCTGCCTCACTCTCCGCTGGACCCACCCGCAGCCCTCGAAAATGGCGACGCTGTCGCAGATCGCAGCCCCCCAGAGACGGCGAGGTCTACCTCAGATCTGCGCGCTGCCTCACTCCGCTGGACCCACCAGCAGCCCCCGAAAGTGGCGACGCTGTCGCAGATCGCAGCCCCCCAGGGACGGCGAGGTCTACCTCAGATCTGCGCGCTGCCTCACTCCGCTGGACCCACCCGCAGCCCTCGAAAGTGGCGACCGCAGATCGCAGCCCCCCAGGGACGGCGAGGTCTACCTCAGATCTGCGCGCTGCCTCACTCCGCTGGACCACCAGCAGCCCCCGAAAGTGGCGACGCTGTCGCAGATCGCAGCCCCCCAGGGACGCGAGGTCTACCTCAGATCTGCGCGTTGCCTCACTCCGCTGGGCCCACCAGCAGCCCTCGAAAGTGGCGACGCTGTCGCAGATCGCAGCCCCCCAGAGACGGCGAGGTCTGCCTCAGATCTGCGCGCTGCCTCACTCCGCTGGACCCACCAGCAGCCCCCGAAAGTGGCGACGCTGTCGCAGATCGCAGCCCCCCAGGGACGGCGAGGTCTACCTCAGATCTGCGCGCTGCCTCACTCCGCTGGACACACCAGCAGCCCTCGAAAGTGGCGACGCTGTCGCAGATCTCAGCCCCCCAGGGGCGGCGAGGTCTACCTCAGGATCTGCGCGCTGCCTCACTCCGCTGGACCCACCAGCAGCCCTCGAAAATGGCGACGGTTTCGCAGATCGCAGCTCCCCAGGCACGGCGAGGTCTAGATCAAGTCTGCGCGCTGCCTCACTCCGCTGGACCCACCAGCAGCCCTCGAAAGTGGCGTCAGCGCGCTGCCTCACTCCGCTGGAGCCACCAGCAGCCCTCGAAAGTGACGTCAGTTTCGCACTCCGCAGCACCCCAGGGACGGCGACGAGAGGGCGGGAGGAGGGAGGAGGCGAAAGGAAGGACGCGCGAACAGTGCTCTATTCAAAACGAATGCCCAACCAAGGAGGCTCGGGGGAAAAACCTTCTACGCCCAGGGGCGAGGGGGTGCTGACGCCCAGGCCCAAAAGGAAGAGGGCGGGCGGGCACGCAGGCGGCAGCACTACGTGGCGTGGCTGGTGCCTCATCGTGTGCGCCTCGTTGGCGTAGGGCAGCAGCGGAATGAGGGGCGGGAGAAGGGAAACGCGGAGGCGGATAAAGATGGTTTTTGACCACAATTCCAATGCAGCGCGAGCCTGGCCAGGCCCCGCTATAGGTTTCCACGGACAACAATCAGCACGCAATCCAAGTATCAGGCCACAGACACAACGAAGCCCTTGAACACTTGAAACACAATGGGGTGCAAGAGGGAACATGTCACGTGGTACAGCGCTGGTATAGTTGGATCCTTTGCTGTGCTTTGGAGTCAGCTGATTTGCTTTGCGGTGCATTGAGTCGCCTAGCTAATCACCATAGCCCTTACAGTTGCGAGAAAGAGCAAGGGGGCGGCGGGGCTCTGAAGAAGCCCGCCGCAGGCACCGATGTGGAAGGAGGAGGAGGAGGAGGAAGAGGAGGAGGCGGCGGAGGAGGAGGGGAGGGGAGGAAGCAGAAAAGGGGAGGGGGAAGGGAAAGGAAGGGAGGGGAACGGAAGGGAACGGAAGGGAAGGAGGAGGAGGAGGAGGAGGAGGAGGAGGGGGCGGAGGAGGAGGGGGCGGAGGAGGAGGATGAGGAGGAGGAGGAGGAGGAGGACGAGGAGGCGGAGGAGGCGGAGGAGGGACGCGGGTGGGGCGCGGGCGGGTCGTGGTTGGGTCGCGGGTGGCTCGTGGGCGGGGCGGGGCGCGTGCGGGTCGCGGGTCGCGTGCGACCTCGGCGACAGCAACAAGCAATAGCCAGCACACTGCATCCTGGAGTCCTACGTGAGCGTTTTTGTATTCGGCGTTTCGGCATTGGGCGGAAAGGGGGAGGGATCTGGCTCCGGACCTCTGCTTAGTGCGACTGTTTGCAGCAGTGCGGCCGATGGAGTCCACCTGCCTGAAACAGGCGCCCAAAACAGCCAAGATCTACTCCACGGGGGGGATGAGGGGTTTTGGGGCCCGCGCCGATCGGCAAAATACTGAATAAACGAACGATCACCACTTCAGCCACGCACCCAGTGACGGTGTAAGACCATTCGACGCCCTCATTGTGATACATGCTCTCTCTTACGCGCATTGAACTGATTCGATCTGGGATGTTGCGCTTTGTATTGGGATGTTTTTTGATGTTCCGTCGCAGTGCGTTCCTTTGATTTGCACCGTGTCACTTGACAGCGCATTGGATTGTGTGGTTCGTTGCTTTGCGGTGCGCTGAACCGATCTTGATGGCATTGCACTGCTTCGCTCCGAATTGCATTGCAATGCAATGCGATGCCATGCGTCCACCAACTCATCGCGTTGTATTGGTGGAACGCGGGGTGGGGCATCCCCGAGGAATGAAGGGGCGGCCAAAGAACCTGGCCTCTCGCACGCAAGGCTACTGATCCTCCTGTGCAACAAAAAACAATATCCCGCTCAGACAAAGCAGCATCATGTGCGGTATAGTTGCGCAGCCCTCCAGTCTTCTCTTTCTCGCTGCCACGAAGAAGAGTGAGAAGGCGAAGGTCCGACATGGCGCAGGAGGGGAAGAACGGCAGGAATAGCGGAATGGGGGGGGGGAAGGGGATAACGAGGGAGGATGACGACGATGAGGAGGAAGCGGAAGACAGGATGGAAGGCATGGCACGTACATCCAGGGGGGGGGCTGTCGATGGCAACATCAAGCAGAGCGCTGGTTCAGGCCCCCTGGGGAACAAATTCTCGCTCTCCGCCGAAATACTTAAAGGAGAAGAAGTGAAGCAACCATCAAGAGGCATAGCCGAGAATAGATAGGTGGAGTGGGACATATATGAGTGGGCGAGGGGCACGGGCAAGATGATGACCAGGATCGGCAGGAAACAGAACAGAGGAGCGGAGAAGGGAGAAGGAAGAGGGGAGAGGGCGAGGAGGAGAAAAATCATACAGAGACGATTGAGGAGGGAACCAGAAGTAACTGTTGGAGGAGGAAGGTGGGAGAACTGATGGAGAAGAGTGGAGGAGGGTGGGGGAGGGGGGGCGAAGAAACGGAGGGGAGAAAATGGAGGAGGAATGGTGGAATTTGGAGAAGGGGCATGGTAGGTGGGAGGAAGTAAAGGAGGGAAGGATGGATGAGGGAGGAGGGCGGATGAGGCAGGAGGGTGGAGAGAGAATGGGTGAGGGCAGATATTGGAGGAACAACGAAGAACGGAGGAACGACAACATTCACAGAACAGAGTGAAGGAGTAGGCAGGGATGAGGGAGGAGGGAGGATGGGGAGAAGGAGGGGATAGGAAGGGAAGAGGTAAGGGCAGCTGGTGCCTCTTGTTGACATGGAGAAGCTCATCTCCCACCAAAATCATTTTTTCTGGGTTGTTTGTGTTCCACTGTTCCACAATACCTCCCTTCAATATATTGTTGATGGTCACTGGCTCCCAATCGACAGAAGACTTTAGCTCCCATCCAAGCACTTTGTCCATCGTCTTCAATGACGTCTCGTTCTTAGGTACGTCAAGCTCGACCGTGAATTCCTTGCTGTACAATTGACGGTGCAAGTCATCACGCTGGTCGGCAAAACGGCGTTCTCTCTGCGTCTTCGGCCTCTGCACCAATAATGTCAATACATTCTTTGCCCCAGGTACCAATTTACGCCCCGCTAAGAACTGCCCTCTCAGATGCTCCAGGAACGTTTCCGCACTGTGGTGAAAACTGATATCGTTGACTTTCACTATCTGATCGCGAGGGTGGATCGCCTTGTCTGGATGCGCGACGTTCCATTCCTCGACGAGGCTCAATTTCTGGACAGAAGAACAAAACACGGCATGAACAGAAACTTCCGGAACTCACGCGCGGACTCCTTGGAAAGGTACTGGACCCCCCCCCCCCTTGGCGGCGCCTCCGGCGCCGCCCCTGGCGCCGCGCGACAGGGAGAGGTCCCAGCGCCGATCCAAGAAGTCCGCGCGGGAGCTGCGCAAGCTTGTGTTTCATGTTAGGCCAGGCATGTCCTCCTACAGGTGGGTTGTGGGGTTGTGGAAGAAACATGAAGAATAGCCAGAACAGATTTACACACAAAAGAATAATCAAACAAAATCGTCATCTGACTGTTCTTCACAATTTTTGAATACTTCTCCTGTAAATGGACATGCCTGACTTAAGTTTGATGAGAAAACTACAATACCAATGCCACTACTCCCGGGGCCTCTCCAGGGGGGGGCTCTGACCAGAATCTCGAGGCGAGTCCCGCGGTAGCGACAAGGCCCAGGTAGCCCAAAAAGGGGACAACGAAACAGGGGTAGCAGTATTGGTACCTTTTCCTTCTCTGAGTTTTGTTCTTCGACTGGACCGTGTCGACGAAAACGGGCTCCCAGACGTTCAGCCAGGCCAACACTAGGCCCAGCTTGAGGCCGGTCTCATGCGCCCGGGTCATGCTGATCTCCACCTCGAACTCCTCTCGGCGGCGAGCCCAGGGGGAAAGCGAAAGAAGGGGCCCAGGGACACATTCGTACATAGACACGACTCCTAGGATTCCCAATGTTTTCCACATCTTCGGTGTCTTCGTCTTCCCCTCCGTTGTCAACTGTGTCCCATACTTCCCCGGGAGTCGATGTTCATTTGTGTGTGTGTGTGTGTTTGTGTGTGTGTGTCTATTGTTCCCGCCTGAGCGAGAGGGGGCGGGCCTTCTCAGAAGGCCCGCAGGGCCTCGGGCCGTCCGAGGAGTCCTTCCGGCCTTCCCCGAGGACGCAGAGGACTCCTCGGAAGCCTCGCCGCCTCCCGAGGAAGCCTGCCCCCTCGCACGCCCCCCCCCCCCCCCGGGAATCGCCGCCGGTCCTTCTCGAACTGCTCGGCGTGCTTCTTCTGGCGAGCCTCAGGGGACAGGTTCACGATGGGGCCGTCGCTCGCCAGCTCCAGTTCTGTGAGGTGGTGCGAGACGCCGCGGAAGGACTCTGTGAGGTGGTGCGAGGCGCCGCGGAATGATTCTGTGAGGTGGTGCGAGGCGCCGCGGAATGCCGCGTCGTTCGTGCTGATGGCGCCGGCGAAGAGGACGGGTCGCACGACCTGGGGGCACGAAGAGCCCGTTTTTCTTGAGGCTCCGGCAGGTCCACTGGCATGGGCGCGGGGGGGGGCCTGGACCTGGAGCAAGCCGTGAACGACTTGCGCGGGCGGGAAATCACACAAGTCGAAGTGCACCTGCACGCCAGTGTTCGCTTGAGGGGGGGCGAGGGGGGGGGGGTGGGGCGAACGCCATGCAAGTAAACCTGCCCGAATCTAAGAGAACAGGCTCCAACAGGTACCGATACCGCTGCTCCCCGGACCTCTCCCAAGGTGCATTCTGCATAAAATTAGGTCGGGCGTGTCCCCCTGCAGGGGGGTTACGAAAAACAAATTGGAAAACAAAAAACATTCAAAATTGTTAAAACAAAAATATTCCAAAAATCGTCTCCGTATTATTTTTTGACTATTTTGGAATATTCCTCCTGTAGAGGGACACGCCCGAAGTAAGCCTAAAACTTCGAGGCGAATCTGGCTGTGGCGGCGAGGGCTGCCCAGGACGAGCAGCGGCATCGGCATCTTCCCCTGCTCTGACGACCAACAGCGCGAGCATGCACACCGCCGCCGTTGCGGCCGGCATCGGGTCGGCGGCGAGCGAAGGGGGAGAAGTGAGAAGGAGAATGCCTTCTCAGAAGGCGGCGAGGCTTCTCAGAAGCCCTCGAGCCTTCTGAAACGCCTTCTCTGTCTTCGGGGAAGGCTTAGAAAGCTTCTCAGAAGGCCGGAGGACTTCCGAGCCTTCTGAGAAGGCCCACCCCATCTCGCAAAGGAGGGAACAACACACACCTACACACAACACACACACAACACACAACACGCAACACACAACACACAACACTCAACACACAATACTCAACACACACACAGCAACACACACACAACACACACAAGACACAACACATGACACACAACACACACACACACGCACAAATAAACGTCGATGATCAGGGACATATGGGACAACATTGGCAACGGAGGGGGAGACGAACACACAGAAAGCGTGGAAACGCATGGGCAGTTCTGGGACTTGCGCCCATGTCTTTGTGTGCCCCTGGGCCTCTTCTTTCGCCTCCCCCAGGAAAACCCAGAATCGAATCGATAAGTCGGATCGGCGATCGACATGAATCGGATCGGCGGAAATCGGCAGCCGAGTCGAGAGAAGTCGAATCGGCGGAATTCGGCAGGCCAATATGCCTCCAGGAGAGAATCGGAGTCCACGTCGGAATCCCAAATCACATCGAATCGGAATCGGAAGCCATCGAAGTCGAATCGAATGGAATCGGAGGAACCGAACCGAGCCCGCCTTCCCACCCCCGCGCGCCGCCGAATTGGGCAGAGCAGATCACTCCATGCACCGAGGACAGTTACGGTAAACGGTGGAGTGCAGGGCCTCCGTCGAGCCAGACGCAGCGGCGCGGGCCTCCTCCTCCTCCGCCTCCTCCGCCTCCTCCGCCTCCTCCTCCTCCTCCTCCTCCTCCTCCTCCTCCTCCTCCTCCTCCTCCTCCCCCTCCTCCCCCTCCTCCCCCTCCTCCTCTCACTGCGCCATGACCCTTGCTGTGGTCCGCGGCATGCGCCCTGGGAGCCGCCGGCACCCTCCCCAAAACCACACAGTGAGCGTTTTCTTATTCTCGGGGATGGACAGACCTTCCTTTAGTAAAACGTGGTTTAGTGAAAACGACCTGAGGCCCAAACCTGGCGGGCGCAAGCCTGGAAAATAACGGCCGCGGCGCCCTCTCGAGAACCGAAAACGGACAATTCACTAATCGACGTGTCACTGTTGGGGGTTCTGTCCAACCCCCGATATTCGGCGCTTCGACACTGGGCGGAGCGGGGGGGGGAGGGGGGGAGGGTCTGTCTCCGGACCTCTGCGCAGTGCGACTGTTTGCACCAGCGCGTCCCGTGGGGGAAGGCCCCTCCTGCTCGCAACCGGCGCCAGAAACAGCCAAAATCTGCTCCAGGGGGGGGGGAGGGGTGCGAGGGCCCGCGCCGATCGGCAAAACAATGAATAAGAACACGACCACAAGGCGTCTTTTGCTTACGACGGCATGGGTGCTGTCGCTCCCATCGTACTTAAGTGCCACATCCCAGAACGAATTTCGAGCACCCGGAAAAGTATCGAAACGGTGTCGAACGAGCATCGCCTCTCAGGGCCCGACACGTGAAAACCTTCAAATTGCGGTGCCTTCCTGGTGCTCGAAACTCTTCCTGGGCCCACGGCTACAGCAGCTTCGAACATCATAAGTCTACAACGGCACGGGAGCAATCCGCAGAGCCCTCACGCTCGTGAGCGGTTGGTGCAGGTCGATTGCGCCGCGCGCGGGGGCCAGTTGCCACCCCGCGCAGCACTGACGTCTCCTGAGATCCGACGGCGCGAACAGTTGAAGCATCGCTAGGAAGAACTCACCATCGGAGCCCCAGACCGCATCTTTCCGCGCCATTTGTAAAGCTGGATCGATCTGTGAGGGTCCCAGGGCCCGAAGCCTGACGAAACCGTCCGTCTCCCCAAACACTGAAACACCAGGATCTCAGGGTCCTGCGCGACACAGGATTCAGCCCAGAGAAACATCCTGCCGAGGCTCCGAGAACTGACCCTCCAGGCGGTGGTCATGTAAATTTTCTCGCCTCGGACTTGAGGCAGACACGTGCTATAATGGCATGGGCAGCGGGGAGGCGGGAAAAGGTATTGGGGACGCCCGCGGCGGGGCGGGGGGGCCCTCCAGCGTGCCCACCGGGGGGAGGGAGAGACGGAGGGGAGGGAGGGGGGGGGGGAGAAGCAGGAAAAAGAGGAGAAGGGGGAGCACGAAGAAGTAGCGAAGAGAGGAGGAGGGGGAGGAGGAGGAGGAAGAGCGGAGAAGAGCGGGGAAGAGGAGGAGGAGGAGGCGGAGGAGGAGGAGAAGGAGGAGAAGCGAGGAGGAGAAGACGGCGGAGGAGGAGGAGAAGTAGGAGGAGGAGGAGGAGGAGAAAGCAGCCAGGAGAAGGAGGAGGAGGAACGGGGAGAAGGAGGAGGAGGAGGAGGAGGACGAGGAGGAAGAGGAGGAGAAGGAGGAGGAGGAGAAGGAGGAGGAAGAGAAGGGAGGAAGAGGAGGGAGGAGGAGGAGGAGGAGGGAGGAGGAGGAGGAGGAGGAGGAGGAGGAGGAGGAGGAGGAGGAGGAGAAGGCAGAGTGAGCGACGAAAACAAGAGAAGTCTTGCGGCGAGCAGCGACCTGACCAAGACGGGTGCGCGGCATGCCACGTATGCAAATCAGGGATCATTCGCACCCGGCAGCACGCGACGGTCCGCGAAGTCGGCCCCCCGGTTCGGGTCGGACGAGAACTTGCCATCGCTCCGACGTCCATTCCCCACTGCACTGTTTGGTTCCGTGCGCCTCTTTATTGTCGCGGGATGATGCAAGATGCTCCTCGATGGCCCTTGCCTGGGAAAAACTACACACGTCCGAACGATGCCAAGAAAGTGGTGGAGTGGTAAAGTTTGGCGGCACGAACAAGGGGGAGGGGGAAGAGGGCTTCGTAGAAAGAGGCCGCTTCTTAGAAGGCGCCCGCCTTACAGTAATTATTCACTGCGTGGAGCTCCCCATATGTGCATCTACTCGCATGGACCTGTCCGCCGTGAATGTCTAGGCGCAAGAGCTTTCGAATATTAACAGGCTTCAGTTGTGACGGTCTGGACATCAATCTAACTGCGAATGAATTGGAGTGTGAATGAGCCTCAGTAGTACGAGCGCGTCTCTGTGCATGAGCCTGGGGCCTCCTGGGGCCTCCTGAAACCTACTGGGGCTTCCTGGGGTCTCCAGGAGCCTCTTGGGACCTCCTGGGACCTCCTAGGAAGGTTTCGTGCCCCAGGAGAGGCGCAATCTATAGCAACAGACGTACATAAAACATTGCGGATTAGAGCCACAGGAGAAGGGCAATCTATAGGAACACGCGTAAAACACCAAGGACTCGTGCCCCAGGAGAGGCCCAATATATAGGAACATGAGTAAAACATTTAGGATTGTGTACACAGGAGAAGGACCATCTATAGAAACATACGTAGAACATCAAAGAATCGTGCTCCAGGTGAGGCCCAATCGATAGGAGCATACGTAAAACACATGGGATTGGAGCCACTCCTGTTGCCTTCTGAGGCCTCCTGCTCCTGGGGCCTCTCGGGGCCTCCTGTTGCCTTCCGAGGCCTCCTGGCGCTTCCTGTTGCCTCCTGGGGCCTCCTGTGGTTTCCTGAGGCCTTCTGGAGCTTCCTGGGGCCTCCTGGAGCCTCTTGGGACATCCTGTGGCCTCTTGAGTCTTTCTGTGGCCTCCTGATGCCTCCTGGTACCTCATGTGGTCTCCTGGGGCCTCCTGGAGTCTGGCCCACCTGGGGGGTGAAAATTAGCGCCTCGCTCGAGACATCCTCCAAATCTGCTCCGAAAGCGAAGGATTTTGGGCCCAGAAACAAGCAAACCGCCTGAGACATCCCCACAAAATGGCCGCGAACGAGCCCGTGCAACCACCCCTGGCGGCTCCCCTTAGGGCCACGAGCCTGGCCACCAAAACAAGCAAACCGATCGAGACATCCTCAAAATCTGGCCCACCTGGGGGGTGAAAATGAGCGCCTCGCTCGAGACATCCTCCAAATCTGCTCCGAAAGCGAAGGATGTTGGGCCCAGAAACAAGCAAACCGCCTGAGACATCCCCACAAAATGGCCGCGAACGAGCCCGTGCAACCACCCCTGGCGGCTCCCCTTAGGGCCACGAGCCTGGCCACCAAAACAAGCAAACCGATCGAGACATCCTCAAAATCTGGCCCACCTGGGGGGTGAAAATGAGCGCCTCGCTCGAGACATCCTCCAAATCTGCTCCGAAAGCGAAGGATGTTGGCAAGACAAACAGGCAAACCGCCTGAGACATCCCCACAAAACGGCCGCGAACGGGACCGTGCAACACCCCTCGGCGGCTCCCCTTAGGGCCACGAGCCTGGCCACCAAAACAAGCAAACCGATCGAGACATCCTCAAAATCTGCCCACCTGGGGGGTGAAAATGAGCGCCTCGCTCGAGACATCCTCCAAATCTGCTCCGAAAGCGAAGGATGTTGGCAAGACAAACAGGCAAACCGCCTGAGACATCCCCACAAAACGGCCGCGAACGGGACCGTGCAACACCCCTCGGCGGCTCCCCTTAGGGCCACGAGCCTGGCCACCAAAACAAGCAAACCGATCGAGACATCCTCAAAATCTGGCCCACCTGGGGGGTGAAAATGAGCGCCTCGCTCGAGACATCCTCCAAATCTGCTCCGAAAGCGAAGGATGTTGGCAAGACAAACAGGCAAACCGCCTGAGACATCCCCACAAAACGGCCGCGAACGGGACCGTGCAACACCCCTCGGCGGCTCCCCTTAGGGGTGCTGAAACCAGCGCCCCGCCTGAGACATCCTCGCAATCTGCTGTTTATCGAATAAGTCAGACAATGAGAAGGTCTGAGTATGAGTAATTCTGAGTATGAGTAAGTCTGTGTATGAGGAACTCTGAGTAAAAGGAGGAGGAGAAGGAGGAAGTCTGAGTATGAGTAAGTCTGAGTATGAGTAGGTCTGGGTATGAGTAGGTCTGAGTATGAGTAAGTTAATGTGATCAGGTCTGAGTATGAGTGAGTCTGTGTATGAGTAAGTCTGTGTATGAGTAAGTCTGTGTATGAGTGAATCTGAGTATGAGTGAGTCTAAGTAGGAGGAGACGAGAAGAGGGGAGGAGGAGAAGAAGAAGGAGTAGGAGGCGTCCAAGTAATAACAAGAACCCCATCTTAGGATATGGGGAATAACAGTAGGATCTAAAGACACGGCCCGCGCCTTCCGAGAAGTAGCCTCCTTCGACGAGGTCTTCCCACCTCCCTCTGCGGTCGGTTCGTGCGGCGTCGGCGCGCGCCAAAATTTTGAGCTCTCACGGCCCTGATCCTTCAAGATCGACTTCCGCCGGGTCCCGTGGCGTTACCGTTTCCCTCAGTGCTTCCGCGTCGTTCTGCCACGCGGTGTTCCTGCGCGCCCCATTCGGGGATGGACAGACCCCCCTTTAGTAAAACGTGGTTTAGTGAGAACGACCTGAGGCCCAAACCTGGCGGGCGCAAGCCTGGAAAATAACGGCCACGGCGCCCTCTCGAGAACCGAAAACGGACAATTCACTAATCGACGTGTCACTGTTGGGGGTTTTGCCCACCCCCGACCCATAGGTGCCGCAGGGGCGCAGAGAGCTCAACCCTGAACGCCTTCGCCAGCGCCGCCCGCGCGCCAACGCCGCGCGAACCTACCGCACACCCCTCTGCGCGTGGCCGGCGAGTCGGGGCCAGCGACTGAGCTCACGCGGCTGGACTTTCCTGGCGCCTCCCGGCGTCGAGAGGCGCCTGCACGGTGCCAGCGCGAGAGGGCTCCGG